ACTGAATGTCCTGAAATCAGTCAGCCTTCTCCTCCTGCGTGCACGTGAATCTCCACCATCCACATCAGAAGTTCTTGATGTGTTATTTCTTCTTCTAGTTCTGGAAGATGAAGTAGAAAGCAACACTCTGGAATCTATTTCGATAGCATTATCAACTGACTGACTCTCTGAGCGTATATCAGCAGCAATGCTTGACAAAGAATCCCTATCATTAACTGCTGGAGCCTGTTCTTGATTTCTTTCTACAGGATTGTTATTCAAATATGAATCTTCAGCCAACCACCTTGCAACTTGAATTTCGTCAGAGCTTAATCCAGATTGGAGGTTGGGCAAGGTAGCAGTTCGATTTGAGCTTGATCTATGGCGCAGGTATGATGAAAGTCGACTTGACCTTAACTCATTATTAGCAGGGCTGCTTTCTATCAAGTCACTCATATCAACAAATGGCAGTGCAGCTCTTTCACTACGCGCTCCTCTAGAAGTCATAAACTGGTTGAGAAATGAGTTATATCTAACATGTGATTCGCGTGGACCACTGGAATTTCGAGACTGATTTTGGACAGATTCCTGACTCAACTCAAATGTACTTCCAAGATGGTCAATCATTTCCTCCATTGGAAAAATGGATGCAGTCCTCTGAATAATTTGCCTCCAGCCCTCAAACCGCGATGCTTGGGGCCTGAGAGGAATGTTGTTCAGACGAGAATCCACATCATGCTCCCGTATAATACTTCCTGAGCCATAAATTGGGATCACATTTTTTGTTGTAACTTCTCCCTTACAAACAGGACACTCCTCGGCATATGAGTGATGATGTAACCAATGGTAAAGACAAGGCCAGCAAAACAAGTGACCACAGCAAGTTACAACAGGTTCCTTAGCCAACTCCAAGCATATATTGCAATCAAAAAAGCTGCCTTCAACACCGTTATTCATTCCACCGTCTCCCTTCTTTCTCAGAGCTTCATCTTCCAAATATCCATTGCCATTCTCAAGAGTTTTGGCCACTTCGTTGTTTCTTTCCTCACCGATCGCACTACCCTCACCAAGTTGTAATCCATTTTCACCAATTAATTCGAATGCAGAATTGTGATTAGATCCCGAACCAGGTTCAGTTGCATCGCCCCAATTTTCAAGAGGCCCCAAATTAAGATCAAAATTCATCGCAGGAGAGGTCTCATCAGCCATTATAAATTGACGCGCCCTAAAATAAAAATTCTGTGTTTCTATTCAGGTTAATCTAATCTTCAACTTTCTAACTCACAGAACTATTAAATAGTCAGACAACAAAACCCAAATTTATTAAATCAAGAAATCCTAGCCCCAGATTTTCCTCTTCCGAATTGAATTAAACTGCTAGCTTAAACTGGTAAGAAAAATAAAAAAATAAAAACCCATATTGTTCAACAAAAGACAAACTTCATCTGTCAAAACAGATTAAAACCCCAAAACAATATCTGGACAACCAAGGGAAAAATAAAAAATAAAAAAAAATATTTTCGTGACTTCAACAATAGCACAGAATCATTCAGCGCAAACTACACATGAGTTGTTGCAGTAATTCAGAAAAGATACTAATTGAAGGGTTTTGTTTACAAGCGAGGAAGATCAAACCTTGGAGAATAGATGGGTTTTCGATTAGACGTTACAATTCAATCTCAGTTTCAGAGAAAAGGGTTTTAGCCACTCTGGTATCATTTTAGGCTTGAAATTCTAATTGGGATGGATGATGGGGAGGCAAAATAAAGCACGGAATCTCTATTGGGCCGTATTAGGTAGGATACTCCAACTACCTTAGCCTTTAAAATTTTGTCCTAAATACAATTTGATTGTGTAAATTACACGCCACTTTTTGTGCACTGGCAAATTGTTACCTCTATGAATTTTGGGTGTTGGACTTGAATTTGTAGAATGTTTCATCAAAACATACTAGTAATAGTTAAACAAAGTGAGGTGTCACCATGACACCTCACTTTGTTTTTAAAGGTATTAAGTTAATTAAGCCGCACTTGACATTATTGTAAGACGGATTATGACACGTATATACAAAGTTATGTTCACTTTGTATCCATATATTTTAATTTATTTTGAATCTTTAGTAGTGGCCCTTTAGATTGTTGTTAGTCAATCTTTTCTTTTGATTTTTTAGGGTATGTCCAGTGTACATTTTAATGGTTAATTTGCTTTGGACTTCTCGGATATTCCTAGTGTATATGTTTTGATTACTTCACTTTTGATCTCCCAAGTATGCTCAACGTACTTGTAAATGAATTTTGATCGATGAAATTTTACATTTACCGATCAAAAAAAAAAAAGTGAGGTGTCACCATGATTCCGAGGCAATCCAACTACTTTAAATATGTGAGTATGATTTTATTTTTATTTTTAATGGAAGCTCACATAAATTGGCCCTCGTGGCCATGTTGCTTCACGGTTGAACAAAAAACGATCCATGATCCATTATTTATGTTTTTATATTGATTGTAAATCATTTTTTTGCTTCTCGGGTCAAGCTCTTCATATTTTACTTGTGGATCTGGTGATGAAATATTAATAGTAAAACAAAATAAATAAATAAATGACAAAATTATTCATATATTTTTATATTAGTCATACTGAGTTTTATTAATTGACAGGTTCAATTCCATTGTATTTACAGTAATTCTTGGAGACAGTGACAGGCCAATTGAAAATAAAAAATAACATCAAGTGCATAGACACTTGAATTTGATAAATGGAGATGCGGGGGATCGAACCCCGTGCCTCTCGCATGCAAAGCGAGCGCTCTACCATTTGAGCTACATCCCCAAGTTGCTGTCAAGGCTCATTTATTTTTATTTATTATTTTCAGTAACATAACTTTCAAAGCTTCAAACATTAATTCAATTGAATTTTGTTTTATATAATCTTAAATATTCACTATCATTATAGGTTCTTAAGACTCAATATTGATTTCTGCATTACTCATCTTTCTCCCCCAATTGTTTTCGTCCATTAAAAAACAATTTTAAACCTAAATTGTCAAAACTTTAGCTAGTATATAGTGAGGTTGTTGTGTACACACACATGTATAAAAGAAGAAATCACCAACAATCAAGTACATAAAAGAAGCAAATTCAGCCTAAAAAGTTGCTAAAGTTTAACAATACAAGAAATGTCCCACTTGGAATTACTGAATGAGCAAAAAGAAACACCACATGGTACAAATGTATTTGATCGATTTATATTGTTGTTGTTGCAACTTTATAATTTAGCCTAGTGTTGATCTACTATGCTCTTACCGGCTTGGAATGCCTTGGGAAGAATATCACTACTAATAGCTGGTTTCGATCCAAAAACTATATTTGCAACAGGAATCACGCATGAGTTCTGACTACTCAATGCGGCCATGGCCAAAACATTTACCTTTCCAACATTTCGTTGGAAGTGAATAAGTCCCACTAGACAAGCAAACACATCGCTCTTTTGAAGGACTTTAATTATTTGGGTGTTGTCAGGATTAGAGGTTATAAATCCAACTTGAAGGGTTCCTTCAAAAACTGTTAGAATTTCAGTGGCTTGGGGATGAGTATGAGGAGGGACGATTACTCATGGTGCAATATCAATGCGAATCATTGAGATTCCAAGAGTGTTGAGTCCTAGTAGCTGAGCCACGATAACTGACCATTGAGGCAAAAGGATTCTAGCAGGCTAGGCCATTTACTCTAGCTGAAAATACACAAAAAAAATGAATTAAACAAATTTCCATGCAAACAGTGAAATTGTACATGATATATTGTTTAATGTGCGAGAATTAATATGCCTGATTACCTGAGCCAGTCAGATCTGCAACGCAGAAATCTTGCAAAGGAGATGGCTCAAATGCTAAGGCAATGCGGGAGAAAGTGAGAATCACCATGCTGAAAAGGAGAATTTAAGAACAGTTGATGTAAATCAACACTGTAATTTAAAGAGAAAGAACACTTGTTAGTTATGAAGAATGATTCGGCTAAGTAACTTATCTATAGAGGATTTACCAACTTAAAAATTCATCCACTATTGAATAGAATCTGAAACATGCCGTCCAACCACCAAAGAATGCTTACAACCTTCCTATGTATACATTAAAATTTCAAAAACTGATCTCACCAAAGAATGTTTATGATAACCAAGAAACGATCCAAGATGACCTCAAACGTGTCAAATTATGGATATTTGATTAAGAATTCGTGTTCATACATAGTTTGGAAGCTACGGCACTAAAAATTGTAGACCTGGTCGTCTTTCCAGTGACTGCTGCCATGATAAACTATAATATTCATTTAGTTTCCTAAAGGTTATAAAATATTATCAATTTGTAGACTAATTCTGCTTATTAATTCGGCAGTAGATTCTATTAGGCAACTCAAAAATTTTCTCTGCTATACAGCAAGAGAGATCTTATCCAACAGCAATAGACAAACCACAACATTGAAACAACTGATTAACTTAAGAAATCCTTTTTCATGAGACATGAAACTATAAGTAGACATAGTTTTTGAAGATTTCTTTAATTAGGAAGAATTCAAAGAATTTCTTGAGCTAGAATGGACGATGAGAAAAGAGTGGAAAATACGATAAAAATTAGAACGTCTATAAATAAGTTGCATGGTTGCACTATCCTTCATCACTCACAACTCTCTCTTTAGTACCTTTTCTCCATTAATTTCAGTTTTTTATCCTCGCTTATCTATTAATTAGGTTAAAATGGCGAAACAAATTCTTGTTTTTAGCATTGTAGCTCTCACTTTCTGCTGCATTACCTTCGCATTTGAACCTTCGCCATCACAAGATTTCTTGTGTTGCAGATGCGACTAGCTTGGGTAATTAGACATATTCATTCAACCACATTAAACAATGTATTATGTACAATCTCATCCTTGGTAGGAAAATCTGAGTATTTTTTTGTGTTTCTTTTCAGCTTGAGTAAATGGCCTGGCAGGCAAGAACCCTGCTAGTGTTCAAGCCAATGACTTCTCCTTCAGTGGACTGCACTCAGCTGTTAACACAGCCAGCCCTTTTGGCTCCGTTGTGACTCCAGTGATCGTGGCTCAATTATCAGGACTCAACACTCTTGGAATCTCAATTGTTTACACTGATATTGCACCATGGGGAATTGTCCCTCCTCACACCCACCCCCCGGCCACTGAAATCCTAACAGTTATTGAAGGAACCCTTCAAGTAGGGTTCATCGCCTCCAATCCCGACAACACCCAAATTACTAAGGTCCTTCAAAAGGGAGACGTTTTTGTTTTCCCAATGGGACTTATTCACTTCCAACAAAAATGTAGGAAAGGTAAATGTTGTGGCAATTGCTGCATTGAGGAGTCAAAATCCAGGTGTGATACCAATAGCAAATACAGTTTTCAGATCGAATCCAGCTATTAGCAGTGATATTCTTGCCAAGGCATTTCAAGTTGACAAGAGTGTTGTGGATCAGCTTCAAGCTAAATTCTAGAGCAGCAGCAGCAGCAACATAAAAATCACTTAAGAATCAATAGATAGGAGGTGCTGCTAGTGTTCATCATTTGGTTCTGTTTTGCAATTTATGTGGTTAGTTCTTTATTTTGTTTTTCTAGTTATTTATACGTAATTTGTGCTTCTAACAAGCATCATCCTACTCCAATTTTCAATGATGATTCAACATTCCTTATCAAGAGCAATATAATATTATGTCGTTCTATCACCATGTCCACAACTTTGCGCATCAAGATCACCACGTCAATACAATTAATACTCACTTTCTTGAAAGAACACGTAAAGGTTTCTATCACAACGATGCGTATGCGCAAAGCGGTTCGTATTCTGATGCAGGCATGGGTGGTACGCTGCACCAATCTTGTGGAGATTTTGTATTGTTCCACTAAATTGGTTTTT